TCTCAGCTCACTGCAACCTCTGCCTCCTGGGTTCAAGCGACTCTCCCACCTCAGTCTCCTGACTTGCTGGGATTATAGGCGCACACCACCACACTTGGCTAATTTTTGTATTTTTAGTAGAGATGGGGTTTCACCATGATGGCCAGGCTGGTCTCGAAATCCTGACCTCAGGCGATTTGCCCGCTTTGGCCTCCCAAAGTACTGGGATTAGAGGTGTGAGTCACAGGCTTTTTAAAAAGGGAACTTGATATCACTACCTTGCAACGGCCCAGTATCAAGGACAGCCCCGGACGTCCAAGGGGTAGAGCAGCTCTGTTCCTCCAGTTGGGCTTTTTCCAGCTTTCCTTTCTTCTCCCCAGAAGCCTGGGGCAGACGGGGACCCCTTGGTCCTGGTCCTCTGGGCTCCATGGCCCCCACTCGAGGGAGCCTTCGCCAGTTCACAACCAGTGTCATGGGCAGCTCTGACCCCTCCTGTGCCCCTTGTGTCTCTGGGGCAGAAAGCTGTAGATCTGTGGCTGCCAAACCTGGTTGATGATGAGACTCACCGGAGAGCTTTCTAAAAGCTTAGATTTTCTTGAGCCCCCAGCACGTGGATCCTAATTGAAGCTACGGGTAGGGACCAGGTTAAAAACAGCCCAGGTGGAGCTGATAATTAGCTACATGCCAGAGTCCTACACGCAGGACAACCAGGCTTAGCTGTGCTCTGGGAAGATTTTCACCTGCAAGTAATGCACAGCTGTCCGATGGAAGAGCCCAGGCCAGGCCCTGACTCCCACTCTCTTTTTTCTTGAGACGGAGTCCCACTCTGTGGCTCAAGCTGGAGGGCAGGGTCACGATCTCGGCTCCCTGCAACCTCCGCCTCCTGGGTTCAAGCAATTCTCCTGCTTCAGCCTCCTGAGTAGCTGGGACCACAGGGGTGTACCACCACGCCTGGCTAATTTTTGTATTTTTAGTAGAGGCAGGGTTTCGCCATGTTGGGCAGGCTGGTCACGAACTCCTGGCTTCAGCATATCTGCCCACCTTGGCGACCCAAAGTGCCGGGATGACAGGTGTGAGCCACCGCGCCCGGCCTGACTCACTTTCTAAAATGAGCAGTACCCGCGGAAGGAAAGTGTCTAGCTCGACCTTCTCCCAAGCTCACAGGACATGGAATTAGGTGCCGACAGACCCTTCAGAGAAACTCCTTTCCCTGTCCTGTGTGACCAGGAGGAAAGGAGGCTTAGTGGTCTGGTATTTCTGGGTGTGCAGCCTCTTTGTTTCTTCCTTATCTTTCTTGCCCATATCACATCTCAGGTCCCTTGGATCAGGGTCAGAACTAGATTGTACCCCTCTGGGTGGCCGCTCACTACACTTTAGGGCCAGGTAACTGGTTTAGTGAGCTCCAGGTTCACAGAGGGAGAGGAATTGCTCAGGACAGGTCATCCCCAGAGCCTCCCCCATGCCAGATTGAGGTGATTTAGGTGATGAGATTTAGAGCAGATTTTGGACTCCTGAGTTGATGTTATAATGGGATGAGGCCTTGGGGCAGGGTGGATGTACTTTGTATTTGGGATGAACGCAAATCTTCGGGGTCTAGAGGGCTGACCAGGTAGACAGGCTGGCCCTCCCCACACAACGATGTCCATGCCCTAATCCCGAGAACCTCTAAATATGTCACCTTATGTAGCAAAAGGGACTTTGCAGGTGGGATTAGCAAGGGGTTTGAGATGGGGAGATTGGCCTGGATACCCAGGTGAGCCCAATCTATCCACACACGTTCTTAAAAGCGCGGGACTTTCTCGGGCTTAAACAGGAACAATGAGGAGGAATGGGAGGTCCGAGAAGTCACCACCTGCGCAGGGAGCAACCACGTGTCTCGTTCACCTCGCGTATCCCCAGAGCCTGGACCCCAGCAGGTGCTTGGCCACAGAAAGGCCAATAAAGTGAACTTTTGTGTTTTCTTTCTGTCTTTGAGACGGAGTTTTGCTCTTGTCGCCCAGGCTGGAGTGCAATGGTGCATTCTTGGCTCACTGCAACCTCTGCCTCCCAGGTTCAAGTGATTCTCCTGTCTCAGCCTCTGGAGTAGCACGTGCCATCGCGTCTGGATAACTTTTTTGTATTTTTAGTAGAAACGGGGTTTCTACCTAGCCAGGCTGGTCTCGAACTCCTGACCTCAGCTGATCTGCCCGGCTCAGCCTCCCAAAGCGCTGGGATTACAGGCGTGAGCCACTAAAGTGAACTTTTAAGCACTGGATTCCAGCTAACAGCCATGTTGGGTGAATTATTTAACCTCTCCGACCCTACATCATCCTGTTTCTATGGATATCAGAAGTAAAGGCAGTGAAATAACCCACCCAAGGTCATCCAACGCATGAACAGTGGGGCTGGGCCTACTGCAAGCCCCTCCGAACCCATCTGGTTGCCAAATCCAGCAGCCCCACCCCCACCT